CGTGAGGGAGTTTTACCTTTCCACTGTCACTTTCATGCTTGCTCAAGATGAGATGTGGGACCCTGGAACCCTGTGTACACAATTTCATTCCACCACATGTGCCACATGTGATGCGAATGACAAATAAAGTAACGCTGAGTCTGATTTCTGTGATGGTGTTAAATTCAAAGCAGATGCTCAGATATTCTTAAATTATCATTTTTATATATTAAGGTTTCTGTTAACTTTGTTAACTTTTGTAAAATTGTCTATCCCCTCACCCCCTCAAAAACTGTAAAACTGTCAATACAAACAGCACACAGCTCAGATGTGTCTTTGTCTCTCCACATTTCCGTCAAAGAAAAATCACGGACAAGATGAGCGCCCAGCCATGGCCAGTTATCTAGGGGAAACTGTACTTATTTCCAAAAGAGGGAGGAACATAGAGTGATCTATAAGAGTGGAGGAAGGAGTATGCAAGTCGACTACATTCTGTGTAGAAGAGGAAACCTGAGGGAGATTGGGGACTGTAAGGTTGTGGCATGGGAGAGCATGTCCAGACAGCATCGGATGGTTGTGTATAGAATGACTGTTGTTGTGCAGAAGAGAAAAGTGTAAACTCAGAGAAGAAGACCAAATGGTAGAAGCAGAATAAGGAAGAATGTTGTGAGAAATTCAGAAAGGAGCTGTTAAAGGCTCTGGGTGGTAAGAAAGAGCTTCCAAATGACTGGGCTACTACAGCAACAGTAAGTGGAGATACTGGTAGGAAGGTACTTGGTGTGTCATGAGGACAGAGAAAAGATGATAAGGAAACCTGGTGGTGGAATAGTGAAGTGCAGGAAGCTATTCAGAGAAAGAGGTTAGCCAAGAAGAAATATGACAATGAGAGGTCTGAAGAGAGAAAACGGGAATATAAGGAGATGCAATGCAGAGCAAAGAGGGAGGTGGCAAAGGCAAAGCAGAAGGCATATGATGAGTTGTATGGGAGACTGGACACTAAAGAGGGTGAGAAGGACTCGTACCAACTGCAAGACAGATGGATCAGAATGGAAAGGATGTGCAGCAGGTTAGGCTTGTTAACGATAGGAATGGTAATGTTCTAACAAGTGAGGAGAATGTGACGGGAAGATGGAAGGAGTACTTTGAGGAGCTAATGAATGAAGAGAATGAAATAGAAAGAAGAGTAGAGGTCATAGAAACTGTGGACCAGGAAGTGGGAAAGATTAGTGAGGGTGAAGTCCGGAAAGCTCTGAAAAAAAATGAAGAAGGGGAAGGCAGTAGGATCTGATGACATACCAGTGGAGGTTTGGAAATGTCTTGGAGAGATGGCAGTGAGAGTTTTGACTCAAATATTCATTGGTATAGTTGAAGGTGAGAAAATGCCTGAGGAATGGAGAAGAAGTGTATTAATGCCCATTTTTATGAACAAGGGTGATGTACAGAGTTGTAGCAACTATAGGGGAATTAAGGTGATGAGTCAGACAATGAAGATCTGGGAGAGAGATGTGGAAGTAAGACTTAGACAAGGTTATTTCATTTCATTTTCATTTATTTCTTTATTTAAATTAGGACAATGCATATTAATCAACATGTCAGCAGTAAGCATCAATGTAAATATGCTGGAGTTAGCACGGTAGCTAATTTTCATCCGTTGTCCTAAGGTAAGTAAGAACAAGAAACATCCCACAAAACAAGTGAGCCATACTGCTGCTAAATCATCATCAAAGTAGATATTCTACAATTGAGAAGGAAATGCTTGCATTACTTTTAGCCCTGCAGCATTTTGAAGTTTATCTTGGCTTGAGTGTGAAACCTATAGAAGTTTTCACAGACCATAACCCACTTGTCTTTCTTTCCAGGATGTACAATAATAATCAACGGCTTATGCGGTGGGCTCTGATTATTCAGGAATATAACCTCAGAATTTGTCATAAAAAAGGGTCAGATAATGTTCTGGCTGATACGCTGTCACGTGCTCTATGACCCCAGGGCATCTCTTTGAATGTTCCAAACATTTTGTTTGGACTTGTAAGGGTGGGGGTGTTACATGTCTGGAGGACTTTGTTTTTTCCCCCTCTTGTTTCTCTGTTTGCTCCTCAGGTGCAGAATGCAGGCTGGTGCCAATTTGGAGATTTGAATGCTGATTGGTTGGAGAGTTGGGCAGGACCAATCAGGACTCAGGACTGCCCTATAAAGGAAGCTCTTCTGTGCTGTTTTTTTTTTTTTTTTTGGTCAACTTCCCTCCATGCTGTTTTTTTTGGCACATCTGTGTTGCTGTCTGGAGCAGTGTTCATTGCATAAGGTTTGTGGTGGGAGTTAGAGGACTAGGTAAGTTTGGGGTACCCTATACACTTCCACACTTAGGCAAAAAGTTCTGTTAAACACACTAGATAAGTAGGTTGGTGCCACCCTTGTAATTTTTGGTGAACTCTTTATTTAGATAAGCAGGTCAGGGTATTTTCATTTCATTGTTTTCCGTCTAGAGTAGATGTCAGTTAGGCCCTGTTTTGTTTTGTTTGATTTGGCACTAACCTAACTGTCCCTTTCTCCCCCACAGCTTTCTTTTTTGGATATTTTAAAAGAACAAAACAATAAAAGCTCTTCTTTCACTTTTACAAGGACTCTGTCTATTTATTGTGGTTGTCATGTTCATGATACCCTTCCTCCAACAAGTGGGGGGCATAACAAGTGGGGGCTCGTCCGGGATTTGAACCCGGGACCTCTCGCAGGTTAGCAGCAGTATGGCTTCATGCCAAGAAAGAGCACCACAGACGCCGTCTTTGCTTTGAGGATGCTGGTGGAGAAGTACAAAAAGGGTCAGAAAGAACTCCATTGTGTCTTCGTGGATTTAGAAAAAGCATATAACAGGATGCCAAGGGAGGAGGTGTAGTATTGCACGAGGAAATCTGGAGTGGCAGAGAAGTATGTTAGACTAGTAGAGGACATGTACGAGAACAGCAGGACAGTGGTGAGATGTGCTGTAGGAGTGACAACTTCAAGGTGATGGTGGGACTGCATCAAGGATCGGCTCTGAGCCCCTTCTGGTTTGCTCTGGTGATGGACCAACTAACAGATCAGGTCAGGCAGGAATCCCCATGGACTATGATGTTTGCAGATGACATGATCTGTAGTGAGAACAGGGAGCAGGTAGAAGAGAATTTGGAGAGGTGGAATATGCACTTGAAAGAAGAGGAATGAAAGTCAGCCATAGTAAGACAAAGTACATGAGTGTGAATGAGAGGGAGGCCGGTGGAACAGTGATGATACAAGAAGCAGAGGTCTCAAAAGTGCAGGACTTCAAGTACTTGGGGTCCAATGTCCAGGGAAATGGGGAGTGTGGAAAATAGGTGAAAAAAGAGTCCAGGCAGGATGGAGTGGATGGAGAAAAGTTTCAGGAGTGATTTGCAACAAAAGGGTGTCAGCAAAGGTCAAAGGAAAAGTTTAAAAGATAGTGGTGAGATCAGCTATATTGTATGGTCTGGAGACAGTGGCATTGACAAAAAGACAGGAGAAAGAACTGGAAGTTGTCATGAACCAGAGGCCGGATCGCAAACAACAACAACAACCACTGA